TGCGCACAACCAGCATGCATCGTTAACGCAATGGAAAATGTATGTATCCGAGCTTTAATTTCGGGAGCGCTGGTTGCGCTTTGGGAAGAGTCAGGGGAGAGACATGTCAGAGACACAGGGGAGAAACGCGGGAGATACGAGGGAGACCCGCACTTGCAACATGGTTCTGTCTGCATATGGTCCGAGCTCGGTACCATGTTAGAGCTGTGCTTTCACTGAGCGCCGCGGCTGTCATTACAAAGCGGCAGCAGCTGCACCAGGACGTGCACATTCGAGTGCATCGCTTGAATGTGCTTAGAGCAAATAACAGCAAGTGCCCGCTGTCACACATTTCACAGAAATTACATTATCAGCAGATAAAGGTTGTAAATCGTGGATCCGTGGAATATTTTCATCCCTAGTTTATCCTGATTCACACAACACACCCACTTATACATTTTGGATAGTAAGAGCACAATAAGTATTTTTTCAGCCTTTCAACCAACCTGTTTCTTTATTGGAGCCAGTTCTGTTCTGTCTCTGTGCCGTGTGAGCTCCTCGGAACATTAAACAGTGCGCTGACAGATTAGAAATAACGTAAGTACTTTGAATGGTAATAGATCTACAGTACTTTCCTCTGATTACTCACGTGCTACAATGCTCAGGGAACGAAAAAAAACACTTGCTTCACGCTGGCTAACTTTTAAAAATTAAACAGTCGCTCAGTGCTTCATTTTGGCGCTGAAGAAGACAGCCAATCACTGCAGAGAACGGAACGGGTCACGTGCTGCTGCTGCTGCTGTTGCTCTGGAGGCGAGGAGGAGGCGCGACGTATGCACAAACGGAAGACATGTGTCCCGGACCGTCCGGGTCACGGGACATCATGTCATTTTGGTGGGGACTTTTTAGTCCTCACCAAATATTGGTGGGGACATGTCCCCATGGTCCCCACGCAAACCTACGCCCTTGCCTATATCCTCAAAAAATTAATCATCAATATTTTGGAGAGGATCGGTTGAACGTAACCAATGGGATGCACCCCCCCTCCCCCCATCCTGCTTTTCGTCAGTGTGCACACCTGTCTGAGTTGTTATTGAGCCAATAACAACTCAGATGTTATTGAGCCAATAACAACTCAGATGCCCAAAGTGCCAATTTCATATAAGAAGACTCAGGATGCAGCCAGGGCTCTGTAAAGCTGGCAGTCGAGTTTTGCTAATGGCTAGTTTGTTAAGGGAAGCTAGTGCTTGTCAATTATGGCAAGCAAATCACTTACAAACTTGAGCCCTAATGTGTTCAAATTTCAAGCTGGGAGGCTTCGTCACAGACTGCTCTCCACCCGCACCGTACACGGTGTTGGCAGAGAACCCCCTCCTGAGGCGCCAGACGGTTTGCCAGAATACCTTCGAGGCCGACCGATAGTCATGCTCCATGGACTCTCCAAACTCCTCCCAGTCCTGGGTTTTTGCCTCTGCAATAGCCCAGGCAGCAGCACGCTTCATCGCCTGATACTGGACCCAGGTAATGACGGCGGCACCCCTGCCACCAATGTAGCGTACCAAAGGGGAGAGGGATGACAGAATCAGAAACGGGCAAATTGTTGTTGGCGATCTCTCGAAAAGTGAGGTCCCGATTTATTCATAGCGAACCAAAACCTGCAAAACATAGGTCACAAGACAGCCCACATGCGCACTAATATAATACTAAAAAGTCGCTTACGTAGTGTTCATATAGAACCTAAACTTAAGTCTACATAAGCGCCCACAATGGGCTTTACGATTATTTCTTACAAAATCTAAGTCTAAAAACAAACACAAACACACACATGTCCAGGACATAAGTTAAATGAAATATGAAAATCTCACTGTGGACAACTTCAAATACACTATGTCCACAAAAGTCTGTCCCACTGATAGAGAGGGGGCTTTCACCCTGTGGCCATAATCGTTTTGGTCCTGGTAATCAAAGAAACCTTTGCTTTTGGTAATTCCAAGCTGAGCAGGAGGAGCAGGACACCAGGCACAGCGCGAGGGTTGAAAGATTACTGGCCACCATCTCCTAAAGAAGCAACACAAGGGCCCTCCTCGACCATATGGAAAAACACAGCAGTAAATCCACCATAGCAGGATAAGCATGTGGTAAATTAACATGGTGCTAAAACCTACAAAAAAAGGAAGAGTGTCTTTTTTTCATAGAGAAACGCCATGGTGCATATGTTTGTCCTAGTGAAAAGACATTTTACAAATGACATTCATTAAAGATCCCATATTACGCTAATAATTTGAGTGATACACCATACAACACTCAAAACTTGTGAGATTAGAGCCATCTCTTGTATAGAGGTGACGTTTCCTCGACTCAAACGAGCTGATCCAGAGATCAGTCTGCTCTGTCCGTGAGCCCACCTCCCCCACCCTCGCGGTGACGTAGCATCACGCTCTGAGTTGTTTATCACCGGTTCATAGTCATTTCAGACATGAGAATAAACTTTTTCCAACAATGACAATCCGTAACATCGAGCCCTATGTCCTCGATGCACAATCAGACCCTAGTTATTTAGTTTACAGAAGTATACAGCGAGTTAGCGTCACTGTACTCACAGATCGGGGGTCCGTGTTACGTCTTTTATTGTGGGAATAATATTGCTTTCCAGATCAGTTTTTGAGTAAGTCCAGTTCCATTGTCCCTGTAGTTCTGGGACAGTCTTAGTGAAGTGTCGCAGATGAACAGATTCTTTCAAACAGATTTTTTTTGCCAATTTCTTCGGGCCAAATAGTTTATCCAAGTTGATGTGATCTTAACACTTTTAGTCGCTGACAAAAGCAGAAAAACAGTAGCTCCATGTGGTGTCCACAGACATACGCTAGACTGGCTGCGCTCTCTGATTCGCTGTTTCGATCTGTCAATCACCTCCTGGCTTTCAGTATTATTTTGATTTTTATTATTTTTGACAACAAACAGTATACCTATTGTGTATTGTTTACCCCGTTTTGACAAAAGACCATTTGACCATTATAAATACAAAGCAAACAGGGTTATGAACGTCATGTTTTTATTATGTCCTGTACTGTGCCCTTGGGTGTTTTGAAAGGCACTTTTAAATAAAATAATAATAATAATAATTATTATTATATTCGTTACCAGTGTGGTAATCGTCACAGATGTGTTCAATGCCTCTCGAGGGTGAAGGAGACAGATTGCGCTCTAACTAAAGATTGACAGAATCAATGAAAAAACGACTTTGGGCCTGTAAATGAAGGCCAGATAGCACTGTAATCATGTTTAAAGCAGAGTAAAGTCAAAAAGCGTAATATGGGCCCTTTAATGACATTCATTAATGACACTCATTAACAAAGAATATGGCTGCAAAGGGGACTCTGCCGTGACACTAGTGTGGTTTAAATGGCAAATGAAGCAAATTATGCTGAAAGCTAAACTGAATGTAAAGTTGCTCAAATCAATGAAGAACCTTGTCTACAAAGAAGAAGGACACTTAAAAGGACACCAATAAGAATGTCAGAGTTATTAAAAACAGGGGAGTGAAGATTATGTTTAATTGTGTGACCACATTTTCTCAGAATAACGCCAGAGTGCAATGCAATGCAAAAGAATTGGACCTAAACGAACACAGCATTTATCCCTCTGGCCCAAACCCATGGATATGCTATTGCATTATCTAAAGCTACCTTAACTGAACTACAGTATCAAACCAAAGCCCACAGCATAATGTTGTTTGTCTCCATCAAACATTTTACATTTTGATGGAGACAGTCCGTCTGCTGCTCTGTTATGTTGCTTTGTGGATATTTTAGTTTAACTATTGAAAGACTAAAAGGAAGGAAACCATCAACACACAGTCTGAACTTATTTGACAGCCCACCTTTCTTAGCTTGGTCTCAGTTCTCTGGCTCTCTAACAGACAGAATAAGGATGATTGTCACAAGGTGAAAGCCCCCTCATTTGATGTCTTGCAGACAGTGAAGTATAACATTAGAAATATAATTATAATATTAAGGTTGCTTTTTTGGAACTGTCCAGAGCGCAAATGCCCAACACCAAAGATATCTACATAGTCTTTTATTTGTTTATTGATGAATTTTCACACTTTACTCAATAGAAATTACAGAACATTTCGAGAACAGGGAGTGACCAATAAATAGGATTAAATATATATATATATATATATATATATATATATATATATATATATATATATATAATATTTATGTATATTTATATATGTGTATACAGTACAAACCAAAAGTTTGGACACACTTTCTCATTCAATGAGGTTCCTTTCTTTTCATGATTGACTGTAGATTCACACCCAGGCTGTGTAAGGGCTATTTGACCAATAAGGAGAGTGATGGGTGCTGGGCCAGATGACCTGGTCTCTACAGTCACCGGACCTGAACCCAATCCAGATGGTTTTGGGGCTGGACCACAGAGTGAAGAGGAAAGGGCCAACAAGTGCTAAGCATCTGTGCGAACTCAGACCATTTCAGGTCACTACCTCTTGAAGCTCATCAAGAGAAGTCCAAGAGTGTGTGAAGCAGTAATCAGAGCAAAAGGAGCTACTTTGAAGAACCTAGAATATGAGACATATTTTCAGTTGTTTCATACTTTTGTTGTTGTATGTATGTATGTAATGAATGAGTGAATTCATAGTTTTGATGCCTTCAATCTACAATTTTCATAATCATGAAAATAAAAAACTCTTGGCGTGTCCAAACTTTTGGTCTGTACTGTGTATATATATATATATATATATATATATATATATATATATATATATATATATATATATATATATATATATATATATATATATATATTATTATTTTTATTTTTTTTTTTTTTCAGAAAAAATGTAATAGTAAACAGAATTTCTGTGTTATTTTCGTTTGAGTTATACAAATTCCTTTGGTCTCCCAGACCTGCGTGTTTTTTGACTGTTCCTATTTTTTTGTTTTTATTCTTTCCGACCACCAATATTGTGTTCGCATCTCATGTCCCCTCAGGTTCTTTATTTCCGGCTCTAAAGCCTTCTGAGGCAATCTTCAAAGTGATCTTCTGGTTGGGATACTTCAACAGCTGCATCAACCCGATGATCTACCCCTGCTCCAGCAAAGAGTTCCAGCGCGCCTTCACCCGCCTCCTCCGCTGCCAGTGCCACCCAAGACGCCGAGCACTTCGCCGCTTCTATGCTCAACGCTGGAAATCAGCTGTCAAGGAGGAGCAGAAAGCGGAATTCACCCCTGGGTACTCCATCCAAGAATCATTTGGAAGTTCTTTGTTAAATAGGGAAAAATCCTCTTTTTGTATACGTTTATTTCCACCATTTCAGTCCTCATTTCAGCTTAAGGAAAAAGTAAATAGCATTTCGAATAAAATCAGGGTCGGGACCAGTAAGAGTACCTCACCAACAGCAAGACACATGGATTTAGTGGATACAGTTTCTATGGGCATCTATAGTGACCAGTTCTATGACCTAGCCGATTGCTACAGTCTTAAAGAAACAGATATTTAAGATTTAATTTCATGTAAATATTTACAAATGTGAGCTATGAGATGCATTTATAGATTATATCATTTTGAGAGCCTATATGAGATACATTGTCCCGCAACTTGTCAAGGCTTACTGATCTTTTGTTATCAAGTATCACATCTAATATTTGTTTTTGTATTATTTGTGTGACTATTAAAGCTGGGGTACCTGACCTATTTTTCTTCAATAATAGATTATGATTGCCCCTACATAAAGAGTCTTGTAAAATAAACAAATCAGATCACACATGCTGCCTTCATCTTACTATAAAACATGAGACTGGACCAATGCAGCTATGAGTGGCTATGGTATGTTCTTTCATTAAGCAACTTTTGATTGACCTCTCCATCAGAAATTTGATCTTTATTCTGTTTTGCAAATTATAGTGTATGTACTTCACCCAGAGTCCTTTGTAAAATCATAAACAAAATAAAGTTGATCCATTCACAGCCCGTTTCTTGTAAATATTTTAGAGGAAGCAGAGGGGGGTGCAGCTCTGACATCTCAATTGTTTAAAAGTGTGTGCCTGGTTCAATTGTTATGGAAAATATATTTTTTGGTCTTTGATGCTATCATGTCAAGTGTATTTCAAGTATTATAATTTGGAGTGGTTATACAGGTTTTCTACCAGCAGATGGAACTAAACTAAGCCCACATCATTATCTGTATCAGAACTGCCAAGACTCAGTAATATTTCATCTAATTATCAATAAGACAGTTTTAATTACATCTTTTGATGTGGCTTTGTGTGGTTAGTGTACAAATCAAATGTAATGTGTATCGAATGTTTTATACATGTATGAAATCCACTCTCGAACACTAGATTTACCTATTGTAAATAAATACTGTATAGAATCTATACTATATATATAGTTTGACATCAATATAAATATAGATTGAAAATAGTAGATAAGCAAGAAATGTGTATTTGTTCATTTGCTTTTATTGTGAATCACAATTCCTACACAAGAATAATAAGTTTTACATATATCTATCTCTATGGCAAGAATCTTACAGCACAAGGTTTCAGAATTCTACTTTAAGGGCGTTTTACATGAAAAAATTACATTCACTTTTGTAATTCCATATAAAACTACACTACAATTCATCTCCAATGCAAATTCCCCCACTCCTACATCAGTGCATTAAGGACACCCCAGTAGTAGTTTTCTAAATGTGAGCTCAGGTTGTCACGACTTCACTTCTCACATTTACTGCTCCCTGCTCCACGGTGTCTCGCAGAGATAAAGGCAATTTGATTTTTCTCTGCAGAACCGCAGTCACGGAATGATTAACAAGGAGACCTCAAACGAGAAAGTTCAAGACAATTGGAAACTGTCCGGTGACTGAGATCCGTATGATATCATTAAAATGTATTTTGTTTTTATGTTGATGGTTACAGTATATGGCTGTGACAGACAAGTGACAGACAACAGAGAGTTTTGCTGCGGGGGAGAGCACGCCATGGTCAGTGAAGGAGACTGCTGTGGTCCCATAACACACCCCACATACAATGGCTTTCAACCATCTGAAACGCTTTTACGCTAGAACGCCCAGAGCAGTCAATTTGACGGGTTTTAGTTTATTACACAAGTCAGTGTGTGTAGCTTTTTGATCTTCCTAAATTTGTGACTTTTTATTTGTCTATATGTAGTTTATTTCTATATCAGAGGGGGGTTTTATTAAATCATCTTTTGTTGTCTCTTAAAAATCATATTCTGAGGGTGTGTTCCCACTTGTTGGTCTGGATCACTTCAACTCCAATCCAATCCCTCCAATCACTTTATTTGTATAGCACATTTTATAAAACAAGTTTCCAAAGTGCTGCACTGCACTTTGCAAATCAATGCATTTAAATATCCAGGTTTGCCAGCCTTATGTTTTAAAGATAGAAGTAAAACATTATGCACAAAATGTGAACATCCATCCATCCATTTTCTTCGCCTTAATCCATTTCTGGGTCGGGGGGGTGGCAATCAGAGATGCACCCTGTCCACAGAGCACCAGCCCCTCACTGATCCTCCTACAGGTGGTGAGTCCACAGGAGCCTTGATCTTCCAGCGGGGGTTTCAGGCAAAGTGGGGTTAATTGTCTTGCCCATGGACACAACGACAGTCTGTGAAGTAGGTCTTGGCTTGAACCCACGGCCTGCTGGCCCAAAGGCCAATGCTCTACCAACTGAGCCACTGTCGCCCACAAATCTATACAAATCAATGAAATACCAGTTATCAATGTGACAAGAACGATAAAATACTAGCTATCCGATTTAAAAAATAGAACAAAAAACTAAAAACAATAAAACAAAACAAGTAAAAAGAGGACCACACAAGTCACGCGGTGTTAAAAGCCAGATAGTAAAAATGCATCTTAAGAGTGTAATCTATTCTGGTTCACTTGGCTGAAAATGGTTTAATTGTGGATATAAAACCACCAAACAGTCAAGTGAATGCCCCCTAAATCTAAAACACTACACTGGTTAAATATGGGTGAATACATATACAAAATGAATATTATTATATAGTTTTATTATAATATTTGTGCGATCTTTCTAATCAATATGTATGAGTTATATCATAAAAGTAATTTCCAAGAGCAACCAAAGACAAGTAATCTTGTACTTTTACAAACACTATGTGTTCAACTAACCGATTTATTTACACACTTTTCCTTTCTCTACTCAATACGCACATCTTTACCGGTTTGTGATAGCTCTATCCATGAGATAGGCTGATGGAGGCAAACTTTGCATCTTACAAACATGAGAAAGGCTTTACGAAAAGAGCGGTTTAAAAAAACATATAAGAAAGGGTTGAGCGAGGAGTTAAGATAACCGAGCCACAAAAACACATCCCCCACAACCGCCTCTGTCCTGTATCCTATGAATGGATCCACAACATTGACGGTAAAAAAGGGCATCCAAAAAAACAGAAAAACCCCCATTACAATTCCAAGTATTTTGGCAGCTTTGCCTTCCCTTTTCATTGCATTTTGGTGCTTTTGTTTCTTGCTCGTATCTTTCCCAATTTGGCTTTCCATTGCACTGATTTGTCGTGCTTGTCTCTTTGCCACCTTGTAGATCTTCCAGTAAGCCAGCAGCATTGTCACCATGGGTAAATAAAAGGACAGAACTGAAGCCAGGACAGCATAGACTTGATTTACCATGAATACACAACTGTGTTTAGCTATTTGGACTTGCATGCCTATAACATGAAGTTCAAGCATGACTGGGCCAAAAGACATAAGTAGAGGGATAATCCAGCATGCCAATATGAGCACACCGACCCGGGCATTGGACATTTTCAAGGAGTAGCTCAATGGATTGCACACGGCACAGTATCGGTCAAAAGCAATACAGCTCAAATGCAAAATAGATGCTGTACATAGCATCACATCCAAGCTGGAGTGGATTTTGCAAAAGAGATGACCAAAAATCCAGCATTGCTCTACAGTCCGTGCCATACTGAACGGCATCACGACCAGCCCCACCAGGCAGTCAGCCACGGCCAATGACAGTACAAATGAGTTGGTAGGAGACTGGAGCGTCTTGAAGTAGAGAATGGATAAGATAACAAAGATGTTTCCCACCACAGTGCCGATGATAACCAGCGTGAGAAAGGTGTAGAGGAGGACTGGAGAGGTATGGTTTATCTGTATTGAGCAGGAGTCCCGTTCAGTCACATTGGAGGAATTGAAAGATCCAGGCGTCTCTGAAGAGTGATTGGTCATGATCCTGTCTAATAAAGAGAAAAGTGTTACATGATGTGGTCCTATTTAATTCTACTGCAAGTCACAACAGCAGTTATGTTGCATGACTTAATAAAAACCATTGAATTCACCAACATAAAAAAGATAATCAACAGTTCCACACAGGAAATCCATCGATAAAGAGCCATCAGTCCATAAGGGGCAATTGACCAATATCCATAAATGTCCATAAATGTTGTTGAATGTTGAGTTGAATGTACTGGATAATCACCACGATAGTTCACATTACTTCCACACACAGGCTATTAACTATCTGTATACTGGAATAAGAAGATGGTAACTAAAAAAGATGAAATATTATAGTAAATAAAAAAAAAAAAAAAAAAAACAGACATACACTCACCTTTTACGACTGCTGTGTTGTCGAGTGTGCTAGATGATAGATTTATCCACAGTAGCTTAGCCGCGTGGACGTATGATTGTTTCCAAAGAAATGGAAAGTTTTATGACAAAACATCCAGGAAAAACAATACATTTTAGATAAATCAGGCATAAAGTGGGCCCACCACCAGGCCAGTTGAGGAATGCACCACTTGGCATACTAGCCTAAACTTTAGGAACAAGGTTTTTGTTTATTTATCAAACTATGTACGGGTATTTAAAAAAAAGAAAAGAAAAAGAAAAGTCTAAACATAGCATTAACTATGTTGATTATGGTTTTGTTTAATCATGTTCTTTAATACTAAGTAGACAGAAATGTTGCCCTCTAGTGTTTCAAGCAATACACTACATTAACTCCAATGAAACATTAGTGAGCAAACGGCAGTGGTCAGTGTTGGAGAGAATACTTTGACATGTTCCCAAACGTTTCACGCCAGGACCATCAAATTAGGAATAAAACCAATTTCTGTATACAATTTAATCTAATAATAATTTGAAACAAAACAAGCTGAATTTATTTTTATGTTGTCTCTTAAATTATGTGTTGTGCTTAGGGCTGGGATAAACGATTATTTTTTAAACAATTAATCTAGCGATTATTTTTTCGATGCATCGATTAATCTAACGATTATTTTTTTCGCTTCGATTCGATTTCGATTTGATTCGATTCTCGATTATCTCCCCATTAATTGACTAATATTGATGTATACATGTTGATTTAAATATTTTAATGAAAAAAACATGAATTCCTTCACAAAAAATATTTATTGCTTACTCTTAAAATTCAAAAATAAGACATTCTTAGAGGTAGCATAAAACCTTAAAGCCTTGAAAACACAGCTTACTGAAAAAAGTGCATCTTATCATTCTTGAAACAAACATTTGATGCTTAGCATTCAATAAAAATATGAAAAAGTTCAGCCAAATACTTGTGTAGAGCAACTAAAAGAAAACAGTAACCAATGTAAACTTGAAGGCTTTAAAGGTCCTATATCACGTTTTTCTTCATGTTTCACACTCAATCCTCTGCACATGTGTTATAATAATGTGTATGATACACCACACAACAATCAAAGCTTGTGAGATTAGAGCCATCTCTTGTATAGAGGTGACGTCACCTCGACTCAAACAGGCTGATCCAGAGAAGAGTCTGCTCCTCTGTCTGTGAGCCCGCCTCCCCCCGCCCGCACAGTGACGTAGCATCACGCTCTTGTCGTTTATCACTGGTACATAGTCATTTCATACATAAGAATAAACTTTTTCCAATGACAATCCGTCACATCGAGCCCTATGTCCTCGATGCACAATCAGACCCTAGTTATTTAGTTTACAGAAGTATACAGCGAGTTAGCGTCACTACTTACAGATCGAGGGGGTCCGAGTTACGTCTTTTACCGTGGGAATAACGTGTTTCCAGATCAGCTTTTGGTAAGTCCAGTTCCGTTGTCCCTGTAGTTCTGGAACAGTCTCAGTGAAGTGTCGCAGATGAACCAGTATTATAATAGATCCATGAGATGAACAGATGAAAAAAGTCGAGCCGCTTTCTTCCTCTTAGGGCCAAATAGTGTGTCACATATTTACACCCATAACACACTTCATTCAAGTTGACGTGATCCTAACACTTTTAGTTGCTGACAAAAGCATAAAAACAGCAGCTCTATGTGGTGTCCGCGAGACCAGACCACAGACGCTGGACTCGGAGCCTGTGCGCTCTGATTCGCTGTTTTGATCCGTCAATCACCTCCCGCCGGCTTTTAATTTATTTTTATTTTTATTATTTTTGAAAACAAACCGCATACTAATTGTGTATTGTTTACCCCGTTTTGACGAAAGTATTTAAAAACTATTTTAAATAGAAAGCAAACGGGGTCATGCGCGTCATCAGTGTGGTTTTCGTCACTGAAGTGGACCCGAGCGTTTCTGTGCCTCACGCTGGGGAAGGAGACAGATTGCTCTCTTACTAAAGATTGACAGAATCAATGAATAAACTACTCTGGGCATGTGTATGAAGGCCAAATAGCACTGTAATCATGTTTAAAGCAGAGAAAAGTCAAAAACCGTGATATGGGCCCTTTAAGCTAAACAAAGAGTGCTTTTCCAGCAAAAACAGTGGGAGCCATCAGCCTGTCATGGCGTCCTTCCTGAACCAACAGAGTTTAACATTTAAGTTGAAGACACATAGGCCTATATTACTGAAGTCCATTAATTAAAGTGCATCTCTTAAATTCTTCTTTCATATAAAAATAACAGTCAAAACTCTGCCACTCACCTTTTTCTTAAACTCAAAATTCAAAAATAAAATTCAAGTAAGAGTGTACAAGAGAAAAACAATGCATTGTGTAGCAAATAAAAAGGTCAACCAGTCATCCTTTCTTTTAGAGTTACTGAAAGAATACAGTAGAAGTCATCTCAGAGGACTTAAAACAACATTGAAGTCACCAACACAGATCAGAGAATCAATCAACAGTTAAACACATTAAGGATATTGAACACATGTTGAAAAATGTCCATATACGGCGGGCATGACAGTGAATAATACATGTAGGGGCTATTACGGGCGCCAATATTCCGTTTGATACAAAGAAAGACAGACTAGTTGTAAGCTGTAGAGTTGCCACAGGACGCGTCATCAGCCTACGTCAGCAGCCGCGGACTGCTATGAAAACATTAGCTTTGTGGTTTCACAGGCGCAGTTGACTGCTTAAACTAAACTTTGCACGAAACTTTGACTCTTAAAACCCACATGTGACAAAACGGAACCATCAACATCTCGCCTCAAATTGCATTGCTTGCTTAACATTCGTGTCTGAATTCGTTCGTATTTTAACTTTTAAAGAAATTCACGGTCCGCCATCTTGGTTTGCTTCGGCTGCCGTGAGACGCGCATGCGCAGGTTTGCATTACATCATAAACAGCTGAGGCTGTGCATCTCTTCAAGGCAGTGTATCTCAGCTTTACACCGGCTTGCACTTCTCTAACACGGCACTCGCATTGCTACCGCTCGCCGCCATCTTTGTTTTGTGTGTGACGCACCGACGCGCATATTATACGTCGGTGTATTTTTTGCGTCGACGTCACCGATTACGTCGACGCGTTGTCCCAGCCCTAGTTGTGCTGTTTGAAATAATACCACTTTTTTTTGTATTTAAAATATTCAAATTTCACATTAAAATGTAATGTTGAAATTGTAAATTATCCTGGAAATGACCTCACGACCCTCACTAGTGTCCTGCAAACCCAACTTTATGAACTACCGTGCTACCCTGTGGACCAATGGCCCCATATGTGTTTGTGTTTATTATTATTGCTGATACCTCTTGATCAGACACAGTCTCTACATTCAAGGCCAGGCTTGAAACAGTCCTCTTAAGTTTAGCATATGATTAGGTAAGACTAGAAATTTTACATTTGTCAGTCAAGCTGCGTATAGAGCCAGTTTGTTGGGATAAGTAGGTAACTTGAGCACTATCCTCTCCTCAATTCCTACTTTATCTATCTGCATTATTAGGATTTTGACTGTTATCTATTCATTGCTATTCACCCGTTGTCCCATTGTCTGTTTCATGGCGCAACGACAGGACCTCTGAACCTTCCCCCCTCCATCTACACCTCCGGACTGCCCTGCCCGACCCGCCTGGGAGCTGCTTCAGTCTTGCACCAGACCTGTTCTGTAGCTTAGGTCCTGGATCTACAGCCCATAATGGACTGGTGTCAGTGCTGGTTCTGCTAGACCTTACCGCTGAATTTTTCACAACAGACCATAAGATACTCCTGCAGAGAATGTGATGTAGGTCTCCGAGCAACAGCACTTCACTGGTTTGAATCCTTTTTTTAAAATCAGATTGGAACCAATTTGTAAGTGTGGACCAGAAAGATTGAGATTAAGAGATCCTTTATTTGTCCCACAGTGGAGAAATTTCAGTGTTGCATTACAAGTTAAAGAACAGTAGGAAAGAGGAGAACACAGCACAAGATGAGGGAACAATATCTTTACTAATCAAATTAACAAAATCTCTAACTCTAGAATAAAAGAACATGTATAAAATCTTTATCTTGAAAATAATAATAATAAAAAAGAAGTATAAAAGTTTTACATTCGGCAAAATAAAAGGGAAGTAGTAAGTAAGTAAGAAATCTTTATTTATATACCGCCTTTTCACTGCACATCAGAGTCTCAAAGCGGTTTACAATTGTTATTTTTTTTGGGAGTGGGGGTGCCAGTACAGGAGGCACATGCCAGAACTATTGTACATATTTTTAGTGGTAGGGGAAATCGGAGCACCCGGAGGAAACCTACGCAGACACGGGGAGAACATGCAAACTCCACTCAGAAAGGCCCTGGTCCAACCAGGATTCGAACCCAGGACCTTCTTGCTGAGAGGCGAGAGTGCTATCCACTCAGCCACCGTGCCGCCCAACAATATAAAGTGCTGTGTATTCTAGTGCAAGCAATGTGTAGTTTTATGTTTACATCTGTACATTAGCAGCAGTATGTTTACATCTGTACATGT